CAGCACAGCACAGCACAGCATAGCACAGCACAGCACAGCACAGCACAGCACAGCACAGCACAGCACAGCACAGCACAGCACAGGAAAGGATCGGATGGGATGGGGTAGGAAAGCAGAGCAGAGTAGACTAGGGGGGAACAGCGTAGTTCATAGTAGGGTATACGAGTAGAGTGTAGGAGAGTAGAGCAGAGTACAGTACAGTATATAGTATAGTGTAGTATAGACCGGAAACTGGGCGTGACATGAAATGCAAGATTTCAGCATGCTTGGTTTAATATTGCCAGTCACGTTTAAGCCCTATCTGCAACTGTAAGCCCTTGAGACCAAGGGTTTCGCCTTGGCTGAAGCCTTGCCAGGCCTCCCAGCCTACGATGCAGACCGTGTGAGCGGTGGCTCGGAAGCAAGACAGGTTTGCTAGGTTTCCTTTTTCCTCCAACTCTCGCTCTGTCTCTCCTTTTTACACACATACATGTATTTATTCCTGTCCATGCGTGCATACAGTGTTTCACATGTTTTTGTATCTATTCGTAGTTATCTACAAGCTTGACTGCTTATCTCTGGGGCTAGAGGTGCCTGTGTCTGTACACGGTATACACTTAGGCTGAGTCAAGCAGAAAAACCTTTCACTATCAGATCCCGGAGTCGGGATGTTGGGTTCCGGCCCCCGCTGATTTCAGCATGAAGTCCCTGTTCGCTTGAGCAGGTGGATACCACTGACGGCAGGCAGGTGTCGCGAGGGTTTCGCGGGAACGAAGCAGCTCTTCTGGAAGACTGGTTTCCTGATGAAATGAAACGGATTTCATTCATGTTCCCAGATCCCGACGTTGCACTCAAAATGTGGTCATTCCAGGCACGGTTCGGTGCCGCCGTGAATGATTGGCTCACGTTTGGGTCGCCATGGAGGGTGCTGCTCAGATGTAAAGTTTGAGGTGAATTTTCAGGCAATTTAATGCATGTCAGAGCTTGAGCTCCAGCCTCCTGAGCAACCTGGATGAACCTGGCCAAATTCCTTAAGATTTAACGATCTCTCGCCTGTGGGTTGGACCTGAGATGCGTCCGCGATATTAAGGCAAAGATTCACACGTCTCTCCTATCACATTCGAGTAGCAAGATTTCCCAGGTGTTAGTATACACATGTACCTTTGTGAGACATGAGATCTCAGCAACACAGGCCAATAAAACCCATGCTGGTACCGCCCTTCTGACGAAAGGGGTTCTGAGTGCCCGAAAGGACGCAGCAAGCCGTCGAGACGGCATCTCTTGCAAGGGCGTTGCCGTTGGAGCTGCTCCAAATGTCCCGGAATCACAGCAACATCTCTCGGTTGGTTTTTGTTGCTCTGTTGCGATGCTGCATGGCACGCCCCCGGTGAATGGCGAGAATGAGGTGTGCTTTACATGTTCCCGGAGGCCGCTAGTCTCAGAACCTTCCTAGGTCTTAAGCGACGAGCGATAGTTAAGTGAGATGGACGTGGGAACTTGTGCTGCTGAACCAAAAGACTGAGAGTCGACCGAGTAAGCCTTGGCAGACTCTTGTGCATCACCTCAAATCGCAGCTGGCATGTCACGTCCGATTTTGCATCGCTTTTTTGCTGGATCCCATGCCTGGAGTGCCTGCAAGGGCTTGAAGGGCTTCGAGTCCCGATGACTGGGGGATGGAGTAGACATACAGTGTTTACTGGTCTGAGCTTGATGGGTCGACGTTGCTGTTGGCTCCGGCCAAACTTCTGAGCTTGTTCTGAACAGTCACACTGAACAGCCGCCGGTGTCCAGATTCCTGTGTCTTTTTCGGTTTGCGATTGAAAGCCTGCTCACGTGGGTGCGTTGCTCTTGAAGATCAGTGCGCAAAAGTGCAGGGGGTCCAGGACTGCTACTGTCGGGTTCACAGCCACTTCCGTTGCGATTGGGGCAATTCTTCATGGCTGTGCTGTGTGGGTAAAATTTCCAAATAGTATACTGTGGAGTACGATGAAGATGGAATGTGACAGGGTGGACTAGAGAGGCCTTTCTGAAGGGTGCCTGACCTGGTTCCAAAGAAAAGAAACAGCTGGCTGTGACTTCTCCATTTTCCAGAAGCACGAGTAAGTCCTGCTGCCGGGAGCTGTGTTGGGCCGGTGTGGCCCAGTAAACACGAAGGCTTCCGTCGTCGGGCCTGGCAATACCTGCTTGGGCAGGAGAAGCTCCGAAGCTGCTCGAGCCGGAGAGGGGAAGTATTGCAGTACACATTCTAGTCCATCGTCGTCTCTTCTTGTCGTGGGGCGTTTCCTAAGGCAGTGACAGCAAAATACAAAAAATGACAGAACTTCAGCCGCAGACCCTCGAACCTCATCGAAATCGGCCCTTGAGCTGTACAGCCACACCGAGCCCGGCAGGGACCAAAAAGAGACGAGTCTGCGGACTCCTGCCCTCCTGCACTCGTAGCGATGAGCCCTTCTGCTTGTCTATACATTTTGCGTTCGTGCTTCTGATTCCGGGATGCGTGTTAAACTCCTAAAGCCTTAGCCCTACCAAACCCTTACGCTGCCTCAGACGGCTCCGGACAATCGGAGCAAAGCTGCGTGGAAGCTCGTGGCCGCAGAGGCGGGGGGTCGGGGGGGGGGGGGGGGGGTAGGGCGTCTGAATCTTCATGCCGACCAATATCCAGTACCACGCTGACAATGTAATGATAATATCTATTCCGCTTACCATCGTTCGATATGTGTTGCACACTGATCTGCTACATTGCAGCACACGATGACGGAACACATGAGTCGTTGCGTGATTGCTCGTCCCGCGCTGGGTTTTACAGTAACTTTCAGCGGCGGGACATCGTGCGGTGGCATAAAGAGGCAGCATCGTGATGTCGTTTTCCGCAAATCTACAGCATGATCCGACACACGTCGGGCAAGCGTAGGAGATTGTGGTATGTCGCCATGTGTTGTTAGCTAGGTTTGGTTCAGTGAATGACGAATTGATAAACACATAATATCTGATTTCATGCTCGCTCGTACCATCTGTGAGTGCATTCTTGTCCTGTGTTGTGGCATGTGCGAGAACATAAGTTGCAGCCCGTCGAGTCCGTTGCAGTATGTTGTACAGTAGTATGAAACAACAGATAAAACTAGGTCACCAGATGAACGCATTTCGCAGTCTAAAACGTTTCGGTACATCGTGCTTGCTGCTGTATCCTCAGCGACCAACAGCATCTTACGTGTTCCTATCATTATCATACACCATTGTTTTTAATGCCATTTAAGCTGATACTGTTCGTTCTTGTGCTTGTGGATGGGGACAGTGCTGATCCGAAATGGCAATGGAAAACATGCATGCATCCTGGTGATGTGCGATCTGCGAGACATTGGCTGCTTTTTGGCGGGCTTGACAGGCACACCTTCGTGTCGGCGATGCAGTAGAGGCCATTCAGAGTGCCTCGCAGGCGGGTATGTCTCGGAAGACCATTTGCTTCGGGTTCAGGAACTTTCATTGAACATGCATGAACGGTTGGCTGGTGTTGACGTCCGAGAACACATGTATGCCGGCACAAGTCATGGACTGACAACTGTGTTTTTCATACTTCGCTGCTGCATTGCTGAAGCAGGTGGTATTAGGGTCGAAAACTGAAAAATCTCTACTTTCGGAAAAGGTCAGTGTCATGCAGAGCGAGACAGTTTATCTACCTGCTTCTTGCCTGGGCTTCGTTGTTGAGTGGTGCAGGCTATGGTTCTTTTCGAGCAACTGAAGCTTCGCGAGGAGCAGGCGCGGGCCGTGCAAGAGCAATCTATCCGTGCATCCGTGCTTGAAGAGGGAAGGATTGATGAATGTTGTTTTGCGAAATCAACAAGGCTGTGCCTGTCGCAACTGCATCAATGATTTCGGCGATCATACAAGCCCTCGGGCCCTCGGGAGTCTTTGGCAAGTAGATCTCGATTCAGCCGCTTCGTTCACTGCCGCTAACTCGGCCCACCTTGGGCCCAGGCCTCAAGTTGTTTTTATGTGGAGGTGGAACTTCAGAATCTGTGGATCCCGGCCCGAGGCGAATTGAGGGTCTCGGAGGCCCTCAAACCTTGAACTCCAATGCAGAGCCCCAATTCCCACACTGAAAGTATACTGCTGTCCAAGATGGCGGCCTCAGCAGCCCTCATCGATGCCTTGGTTCTGAAGCAGGCAGGGGAGGATATTGCCATGCTGAAGACCTCTTCCTTGTTTAAAGGGGATATGACAAGTGCAAAGCCACAAGTCGGAGGTGGTCTCTAGACCCCAGTGCCCTGATGCATATGGAATGACTGCATACCCAAAACTCAATCAAGCTGAGGTTTTTCTTGCCAGAGTCCCCGTCCAGTGTGCGAAAGTCTTGCTCGCTCCTTCCTCATTTAAGTAACTGTAACTGAGCAGGCAACAAACGTTGACAAACTTGGTCGGCGACTTGACGAACCAACGACGGTCAAAGACGCAGTTGCAGCGATTCGTAGGATGGTGCTGCCGCTGCTGATGCAGCAGAATCGGCGGCAGCCGCTTGTCGTGAGGCCGACGACGTGGCCGGCGAGGTGGGGAACAGGGTCCGAGAGTCAGGGGAGGGATTCAGAAGACTGCCCTGCAACACAATTCTACGTCTAGGTACGATTGGTATTGGCAGTAGCATGCGTCCTCGTCGTCGTGCTTCGTCGCGTTGGCTTGTTGCTCGAAGTGCAGTCGCATCTAAGTGCCCAGAAGTAGAGCGAGTCATTGTGAAGGCCATCATCGGATTCTGAAGGAATTTACGTGTGCACTCTGATATGGGCTATTGAGAAGGGGGCACAGACCTGCTCACCAGTAGATTCATTGCGTGTGCTGAACTGCAAAAGTTTAGACTCAGCCCGTTGGCAGCTATTGTTGTTATTGAACTTGCTTCTGTCACTAGCAAGCACAAGCCTGAAACAGCACATACCCTCTCTGGGGCTGTTGAGGCCGCAATGCTGCTCCGAAAGTCCGAGGCATTGTTAGCCGCCATGCAGGACGGCCCTCTTCTGGGGTTACCGCTGAATCCAAGGCCCCCTAACCCCCGCTCCCACAAAGCTGAAGACATTATTCCAAAGGTTCTTGCGCTGTTAAGACATTGCGATCTGCATGATCTGCCCAGCAGAAAGCACGGATGCTGCAAGCATCAGTTGTCACTGATCGACGTTGTGAAACGGGCAGGATTTCCGACTTGAGGCATGCGATTCGTGATAAGTAGCGAACCCCGCACGTCCGGTCCAACTCAAGCTTGCTCGGGCAGGATCCGTACACAGCGGCAGAAGCAGCCATCTCTGCGTGCCTTCTCTTCCGAAGAGTCCGAAGCTTGAGTTCAGTTTGTCTTTGGTTGACTGGTGAGAGCGGCAGGTAAAAATGTTGATGCTCTCTAGAAGCTCGGCACGTCAGTAGTAAAGAACATTTTCGCCTCAAAGCTTTTCAGTTCCTGTCTCCAGTCATGCAGGTCTCAGCGGAGTTTACGCTTTTGCGGCTTGGGCTGCCTTGTCCCCCCTGCCTTGCTTCCTTTGACTGGCAGCTGCCTCGCTGTCCCCTTGTGCTTCCTGAAACTCCAAGTCTGCTGCTGCTGCTGCTGTTGTTGTTTCGGTTATGATGACTGGGCCGCGATGGTTGACCTTGACGATGCAAGATGGAAGCAAGTCACGAAGATCATGGTGATGATTGACTCGGCGGTTAGTTTGTTTTTGTTTCGTATCTCTTGAATTTATCGTTGCCACTGCTATGATCCTTCTCTCAGTGTTATTGCATCTGACGAATGTTACGGACAACAATATTCGTAGTACCAGCAGAAGCTGCGACATGTATGGGTTGATTTATTGATTCCTTCCGTCCTTCCTTGCTTTGTTCCTTCGGCCTTACTCCACTCACACGCTCAGTCACTCAGTCACCCACTCACTCAAGCGAGCAAGCAAGCAATCAATCACGTCGGAAACTCGAGGCCGGCGATGCTCGCGGGGATGCTTCAGCCTTGGAGGCCACCCCGACTCCGTTTCACCACTCGTCGTCATCTTCTTCCAGGTTTTTCCTTGCTGGGTTTCGGCTGTAGCTGTGTGATGAGTTTTGAGTGAGAGGTCGTGGCTGGTGAGGTGAATACGGCGTGGAGTCTTCAAGCTACGACAAACTCCCTTTGCATCTTTCGCCTAAGCTCGATGCAGATATGTATTTGAGTTCCTGTTCTCAGAGACAAGGTGGAGCAGTGTCCGAGGGTAGACACACGGAACGCAAATCGTTTCGATTCGATGCGACAACGCTCTTTGTCTGCGGGCGAGCATCGCGGCAGTACCGGCGCGAGGTGATGGAGGTCTCGGCAGGCTCCTGGCATTGATGCCTCTTCTCCTTGGACTGGTGCTCTCGACTTCTTGCCGTGGTGGGTCCGGTCCCCCGCAACTTCCCTTTTTGCAGGGCAGGGCTCCGTCGTGGAGCATAAACCGAAAGCCCAAAACCGCAGAAACACAAAGGACAGCACCCTAAACCGTGCGCCCTCTGGTGGCCAGTCGTCGCTAGAAATTCTGAGTATCTGAGCTTTGAGCTCGCTGCAGGATCGTGAGGCTAAGTAGTTCACACGATTGCCAGAAGTATCATTGAAGCTAACATGCTTTTTCTGCCAGGCAGCTGCCCGTGCCCACCTCCTCTATGACCCTGAGCAGGCTATCAAGGTCCCGTGGGGGGGAGGGTAGGGGAAATCAGGTTTGCAAACTTAGACTCGCTGCAATGCTTGCAAGACTTCAAGCGATGAGGCAGCAAAGGAGGCCTTGGCCATCGCTTCAGCGGCTGGCGACATCAGCGTTCGAGACTCGGGGCCGCGCCGTCTGGAAACTCACACTGCCGCTTCGTTCTCGCGTTGTATCATGCCACCCCGCCAGCCATCAGGAGATCCCAGTCACAGGACCTCAGCCTGCCATCAACCCCAGATCCGAACCAGGCAGCCAACCCACAGTCCCACAGTATCATTCTGAGAACAGCATCCTAGCGCATGCTAGCACCGTTTTCGGATACTTCAAGGCACTATAAGGCACTCAACAGCTAGGACATTGGTTTTTCCCGCGAATCAACCGCTCAAGCTGTCCGAAACTGTTTTGCAAACTCAAGTTTGAGCGGTCTCCGCCAGAACAAGCGAATCAATCATCTGCTTGTGCAAGAAGTCTGCGAAACCAGCAGCGAACGTTCGTGAAGCGAGTGGTTGAAGAAGGTGCCAATTGCATTGGAGGATCTCGGAAAATCGCTCATATCGCAGGCTGATGTATTCAAAAATATGCAATCATGCGTCCTTTGCTATTGACAGGTTGTTTATCGTTGGTTGGAGAAGACCAGTATGCAATGCCCTGTCCCATGATTGACGAGGATACGGTTACCAAGTAGTGGTACATGGCCTAGTGTGATGAGAAAAACGTCATATGCGTTCACATTCGGCTAAGCTATGCTGCATCAGCGCACACGATGATGCATGGAGCTTCTCCTGTTTATTTGTGTACCCTAAGCCCTGCATCCGGAACCAATCTGTGCGTCTCTCTCTCTCTCTCTCTGTGTTGTGTGATGTACATCATATACATGGGACACTGTCGGACATCTATTTGGACGTATGCTTCGCCGAGGCCCTGCCGCGCATCGAGCGGAGCATGATCGCTGCTAAGGCTCAGGTCGCCACGGCGCAGCAGGCCGAACAGGCTCGGACCAACTACCATGTTTACCTCAAGCACGGGTTGGTAGAAATTCTATAATAAGGGTTATCATACGGGTTCCTATCAGGATTACGGTAAAAATGGAGTCCATCAAAAGGATATCAAAAGGTCTGGTCTTCTTCGTGCTTGTGTCTTTTCTTGATCGCTTCTCTGAGCCGGTGCAGTGAAGCGCCTCGCGTCGGAGGCCAAGGCCTTGAGCTGTCGGGGCCAGGCAGCGCCGGCCTACAAGCACGGAGCCCCGGAGCGAGCCGCGGAGCGAAGCGGAGCCAAGCGGAGCGAAGCGGAGAGAATCAGAGGTCTCGAAGTTTGAGCCCCTTATCCTTTAAGATTTAGATGTCTTGGCTTCGGACTCTGGTCCTAGTAAGATGCGCCAAGAATCTCTGGGACTCTTCACCTTTCACTCCTTGGTCGGAGGTGGCCCAAGGTGCTGCAGCTGCGAGCGCCTGCTGTGGGGCTCCTGGAGCTGTCGATTCCTTCTGAGGGGTCTTGCCCATGGCACCTCCCCTGCAAGCCTCTCGTGTCTATTGCAGTCAGGTTGCTTCGAAAGTCGGTTTCGGGCATACGATACGACACGTATGGTAGGAACCCTACAGAAGAAGTAAACTCGCCGCCTCCGAGGCTCCGGATGTGTTTGCCATGCAGGCGCAGCCCGGTTTTCGGGAATGTTATGCAACCTCTCGCCGGCTATAATATGCTATAAGATGCCATAAGACACGGTAAGCTACTATAGCATATTGCAACATACTATGACTATAACATACTATAACTATAACCTACTATAGCACATTCTAAATTACAAGATGTGACAAGTTATCTCTCCACCCAGAGGAGCGGCCTCGTGCAGAGGGCGGCTCGCAACTTGCGGTACGTGGTGCCTCTGCCGTCGCCGGCGAAGTTTTACTCGGGTTGGGTCCGGGTTGTTGTGACTGTATACTATGAGGGTACTCAATGGCTTCCCATGAGGCTTACTACAAGTTAGGGGTTTGTGGCTTGAGGGGAGCGTGGAGATTTCGGGTTTAAGACTTCAGTCAGGGCTTTCTCTTGCACCTTGTGTACAAAATCTACCTGGCAAGGCATGCTTCAGCTTTGGGTTTGTGTGACGACGACCGTTGTTGCTGCGATGGCCGTCAGAGCGAGGCTTTTTTTATCGTAAACCCATAAACCCACGACCGAGCTTGGCGAGCAGCTGCGCACAGTCATTACGACGGGAATTGCAAGTGAGAATCCACAGCAGCCAGGGACCTGCCGGAGCGGCCAAGATCGACACGAAGGCGGACTCTTTCAGCTCCTCGTGCTCTGCAGTGCCTGCAGTTCAGTAGAAGGCCCATGGCCCATTGCCCATGCCAGCCCTTTGACCCCCTTCCCAGCCCGCCGTGAACTTCACGCGGAAGCCGTTCAAGTGGAACCCTGGCTACCACAAGACGGACGAGGCCTGGGACTTGCGCTACGGGCAGATTCGTGAGACTCCCTCGTCCATGTTGTATTCAAGTCTTGCGCTCATCTTCAAGCGACCTGAAGACCCCGAAGGTCTAAGCTTTGGCCGAAAGGCAAAGCATCACCGCGTCGAAGTGTTGCCTTGCAGGCGTGGTACCGCCAGGAGCTGACGTATCTGCCACCCGCCTCTGGAGAGTGAGGCCCGAGGCCCATGGCCTTGTGTCTCGAATGAGGACTGCGGACTGCCAGCATAAGAGTGAGTACGGCGACAACACCGGAACAGATAGCACAACGAAGCGCCGCGTTTTCGCTGCCGCGCGACTCGACCTTAGCCATGTCAGCCCAGCTCTCGCACACAGAAGCCCAAAGCAAAAACGGGAGGGGCCGGTCGGAGAAGAAGCTAAAATCCGCCACCGCTGATCGTTTGGGGATTTTATGGGCGAGATGCTGGGAGCGAAGCGGTTTGGTGAGCGAAAGCCGGATGGCACCAGGAACGATGCTCATGATGCTGGTTTTCTGCCGAATTCAAGGCAGGTTCCCAGCCTTCGACAGTCCACATGGACCCCATCAGAGCATTCAGAATGGAGTATCATACTCTAGTGCATTCGCGTGCATGCATGTGCGCGAGCGTGCATTGGGGACGGTGGTTTGTAGCTGGTGGCGGGACCGGTCCCTCTACTGGAAGGTGCCGAGTTCTTCTGGCATTGTGCATGAAGAACTGCGCAGAGTAGTGAACACGACTCAGCCAATACAGAGAGACAACAAACGAGACTGCCCAGTCGTATTCTGATGCCGAATGAGGAGGCACAAAAACAAGAACACGTTGTGGGTAGTAGGAAGGAGGCGCTGCGGTGCTCGTGGTGGTATCAAAGACCTGAATCGGCCGTTTCCACACATGTTCGCACAAGACCAAGCTAATCATCTTGAACCCCTCGTCCTGTATAATACGTGTTCAAACTTCTTCAACTTGCTAAGACCTGCATCTACGAAGCACGCACCCTGGCCCCGGAAAAGACAGGTATCCAGACGCTATCCTCTGGACCGCAAACAGTGCTGTCGTGGGGAGGTTGACCTTCCGCGTGAACGTCCATCGTTCAAGAAGGCTGTGCGATGGCAATCCCTGATAGTGTAACACAAAGCTCTGAAAGATACTGACAATGCCGACAGGCCCTACAGTATCTGCACAGGTCAAGGTCCACACAAAACGGAAAGAAGCTGATCGTAACATGGACATTACTGATTGCCATCGCATGAGCCCCCTTCTGCAAAGCGGGAAGAACGATCTCCGAACAGTCTGGAAACAAGTGCCACAAAGCAGTCGCCATTGCAATGACGGTCGATGAAGTCTTCCTACGCCCGTAGAAGACGCCGACGGTGCTCGCCGAGATAAACCTGGATGCGGATGAATTTGGTGGGGGTCATGTTGATCTTTTGGTCCCAGCTATCGGCATCTCAGAGATGGCGCCGGGGGATACATGTTGCACGGAACACAACATGCAAATACCTGCGCTGTCTTGCTCGGCACATTGTGTAAATCTGTCAGCGTAACTACAGCATGCAATGTACAACTGAATTTTCGCACCCCTTTTCCAACTAGTCCTGTGGCAATGCAGCTGGAAGAAGCAATCTTGTGTATTTGATTGGGCTTAGGTCTTCAGGGATTAGGCTTGCGGCTTCAGGGTTTTAGGTTTGGAGGCTGGGTGTCGTGGTGTACAGCACGCAGAGTAAAGTTTAGAGTTTCGCGGCCTTGGTGTTGTTGGTTGTGGATTCCAGGTGTTAATTATCTCTGAGTGAGTCTAGTGCTTATATTGTCGTCGTCGTGGCAGCAGGCTTTCTCCACAGTACTCGTTGTGGCAGCGCGATTGCTCGTTTCGTGCAAAGAAGAATGACTCTGCTATTGGGATCAAGCATCAAGCCTGCTATCCCCAAGGCTGCCAATCACCCAGGTTGGAAGGTTTGTGACGTGCATGAAGCGCAAGTCATGTTGTGCACGTATCTTCGTCACCGAGTCATCCAGCAAGAACGTGAAGTCAGCATCCAGCACCCTGAGACAACAACTTGGAACGAAGAAGTTGCAAGTGCATGGCCTTAAGCTGGCAGACAGAACGCTCCCAAGCCTAGAACAGCCAAAGTCGGACACGCTTTGTACTCGGCCAACCTCCTTGCATGGCCTTGGAGAGACCGTCGAAGATTGCCGCGTTGCAGCATGGCCTTCTGGCAGCATGGGCCCAGAGTGCCTAGAGCTATCTCAGATTGAGGGTCACGACTGGAGCAGGAGCAGTAGTGATTGGTTAGGGAAGTCGAGCAGAGGAGTTGAAAGAGCCACTGCAACTCCGAAGCCCGAGTTCAGCAGTCTGTCGGCTTTCCAGAAAGTCTTCGAGCAGGGCACGAGCATGTCAAGCCTCGGAGCCCGTATCTGGAGAAGCCTTCAGGTGGAAAGTCAGCCCTGCGAATTCCGTTGACAGCAAGAAGCAGATACTCCCACACATCTCAGGCAATCTCGGCCGATGATGACTACGATTGCTTGTGCAAGGTTCGTCGAGTTTCTCTATGATGCCGGATCTAGATTGCATCACGCTTCCAGCTTGGATGCTCGGGACATGAGAGACCAGATCTGGTTTAGCATTGTCGGCCAGGTCGTCTTGGTTGGTGATGTCTCCGTTGGCAAGACTCACCTCTTGTCGCGGTACATGAAGGACGGACGACGAGGCTTTAGTAGGATGCAGGCATCTTGCACCGGGCTATGCGATGTCAGAAATTCTGAAAGCAGCCTTTGAAGCTGCCGAGGGATGGCTCATGGATGACATCGTGGGATTGAGGTTTCCACGCTTCCTGCGTCCTATCAGGACGACTTGCCCAAGGCTCGAGCCACAGCAGTGTGGCCACTCTGGAAGTCTGAGAGCACAAACTGATCTGAGTTTTTTTTGTTTTGAGGTTGCGAAACGTGTACCTGGCTCTCCGATGTGTCACTGCAGTGTGCAGAACGGGAAGTTCCCGAACCCTGTTCTCTCCCCACCCGTCCCTCCTTCTCTCCCTCCCGCTCCTCCACCTCTCCACGACTCCACCTCCCGCTCTCTCTCTGTCTCGTTGTCTTTCTCTGTCTTTCTCTCTTTCTCTCTCTCTTTCCGTCTTTCTTTGCATGTGCCAGAAGATCATTTCGTCAGCTCTTGAGGCCCCGGCAGCCACGATTGGTGTGTCGACCTTGGTAGCGGCAGACAGAGTAGACGGAATTAGGCGAAGCGAACATGAGATTAACGTTGAGCATCGGAATGAGCAAGTAAGAGCGAGCGAAGTAATCCCAACTACAGGAAAGAAAGACTTCTTGGAGAACCGTCAGCAAGGAGAGGTGCTGAGGCGTCAAGAAGAGCAGCATACCCTTGCTCGGAATTACTCGTCTCATTCAGGTTCCCGAAGTGTCGTTTAACATTGAACAGCGCTCCGGATAAAGGAGACTTTACTCGCTTCCATGCGTGACGAAATCAGAGGGGAATCATACCTGGTTGCCCACGTAGGCTTCCGATCGAAGTGGCACAAGCTACCGTTCGAGTTTAGAAGCCCCACCCTGACTGGGTGGCCCGAGGTCGAGTTTGCCACGTGCGGGGGCCGAGATTCACTGTTTCTTGTTTCGCTTCTCGTAGAGAAAATACGGCGCCTGGCCAGAGTTCAACATCCGGATGTCGGCCTTTCGACCCCAACTGGACGCAGTCGCACCAGGAAGACCGTGCGCTTGACGGCGAGCGGCGTGAACGTCAAGGCCTGCTCGGGAGGCTTCGCATCCCTTTTCGCTTCTTCCAATCTCCAACGGTCCGTAGCAGTCCAGCCTCTACATTTTTGGCAATGGCCTCAAAGCTCTCTGCTACAGTTTCGCGATGTCGGTGTGCCTCAAAAGCCGATTCTAGCCTCGGCACAAGCCAAAGCAAGCCGCTACGAGCAGTCGAATTCTATCAAGCAGTGCAGCATCACCTCCTCATCGACCTGTGTCGGGGATGCTAGCTGCGGAGCCAGGAGCAACAGGTAATGCGAAGGAAAGATCTGCTCAGCGGAACATCTTAAAAGAGCAGGATAAGGCAAGACAGCTTCGTGTCGACATCCAGTGTTGCCTCGCGAGCAGACTGTGAACTGAGATACGGTCGAAGCACGTGGCGTCCTTATCATCAAAACTGAAACCCACACAAACAGTATACACTGGGCAATAAGTTTTTAACAACACAACAACTGCGCCGCCAGTTGTGCGAAATGTGCCGACACCAATTGTGTCAACACCAATTAAGCGAACCAACTGTGCCAATACAACTGTGCCAACACCAACTGCAACAAAACGGTGTCACACGGACAGTGCTCAACAGCATCTGTGCCTGCCAACACAGCCAACACGAACACCAACTGTGCCAACCACTGTGGCTGACACCAATTCAGGTCTTGCATTGTGCACTAACATCAACTTTGACGTGAAACCACCAAGGACAATTAGCTGTAGAAGGCTTGTGGCCGTTTGGCATAGCACTCAGTTATTCAAAAAAAGACGTTACAGTATCTTTAAGCTTGTCTCTCGTATCGGTTTAGGCTCCCGTCTTTGCCACGTACAGCTTTGGCAGGCGCAGATCTGGGACACCGCTGGCCAGGCGCATCCGTTGACCTGGCAGCTGTCGTAGTAGCTCTCGTTGTGGTTGTGGTTGCGTCGTTGTCGCCGTCGTCGTCTCCGTTTCACCGTTGCTGGCGGTTCACCCTTTTCAGCTTTTTCTTCTGTTCGCCTTCGAATGCCATTTGTGTACCTCTGCAGGAGCGCTATCGAGCCATCACTCGGGCCCACTACCGCAGGGCCGCAGGGGCCGAGCTGGCGACTGCTTCAAGGCTTCAGGTTGGTGCCCTCTCCGGCTTTTGGCTTTGATGCCCTCCTTACTGGTTACTCGCCGTGAGTGTCCGAGCTCAACTCGGGGAAAGAAGGACTGGACGGGAAGAGGGTCAGAACTGAAAAGCGCTGGTACGTAACATTGGATTGCGTCTGCCAAATCTGCCCATGCGTGGATACATGTAATGGTTCTCGTTCCCTCTGGCCTTATCATATGCTCTAACCTGCCGCGTTATTGCACAGCTGCATAGTGCTGTATGACTTTTCATGACGCTACGGTGTGCCAAATCGAATCGACTCAGGCTAGCTGTAGGAATGTGTTTCATTCAGCTACTGTATGCCAATTGTAC